TAAAAAGGAAAAAAAAAAAAAGAATAGGTTAAAATACAGGCATGTGGTACTTAATTTCTTTTTATTAATTCACTATTTGTAAACTGATGTTTACTGTTAATTTTTTAGAGTCTGTCATGTTAATCAAAGAACATCACTTTCTGCTCTTGAATGAATACGTTTTATAACTTTAACGGTAAGCATTAATCTGTATTTAATTTTTACAATGAAGACTACAGAAATTAAAGTAATCAAATGTAAAATAACTTTGCGTTGAAGAAAAGTAGATTTTTGTTTATATGCTGTCAATTATAGTTCTTAAAAGGAAATCGGAATCTGCAAAAATCAGTATCGGTAGATCACACTAACAAAAAAATCGGAAATCGGTATCGGCCAAGAAAATTGCAATCGGTGCATCTCTAATAATAATAATAGCTGATATAGGCCTAATATATTGAGCATCCCTACAAAACTCACTCACACTGTGTGAGGTCAGGCTATCCTTAGTACAACCCTAAGAACAAAGTGAACTCAGAAGGGAAGGCAGAGATTAACAAACAGAAAGGAAAAGGAATCCCACCTGTGCAGCTATCTAAGAAACAGCGTTTCAGCTCTAAGCAACACCAGGATCTGCCTAGCAGTAGTTTGAAAAGGACAAAGCTTTCTTATGTAGACAGGAAGTGCTCAGACAGACAGAAAGAGAGAAGGAAAGCAAGAGAGTGAAGAAGCGAGAGTGTTTATGGGGATTAAAGCAATGCCAGATGCAGGCTTCAACTATAAACAATCCTGACAGACAATACAATAACACTGCTAATACTCATCAGAGGCCCATAAAACCAAAAGCTAAATTTAACACAGGAAATTGAACTTTTGCATACAATTGTGATTTGATTAACAGAGCAACTCAAAGAAATTGATGCTTCTCCTTTAGGCCAGAAATACCCTACGCAGGTGTGCAAAAGCTTGGCTAATGCATTGCAAACACATGGTCAAATTATACATACTTAGTGTGCGTTCTAGTGGCGGCAACAAACCTCAGTGCTCGAGAGGGCAAACAGGGCTCCACACAAAAAAAATCGATTAAGGAGCCATTGGCTCCTATAAGAAAAAATTTTAGGTGGCAAATTATTTTTTTAGGTGCCACAGAATAAAACGTGATTTATTTATTTATTTTTAACATTTCAATCATACTTTCATGTGTTTATGTCTCATCTTTTCTTGAATTTATCAGCATTTTAATCCATCTTGTAGATGACCTGGGAACTAAGGTTCACTTAAAGTGGGAACTAAACGTCCTTTCCAACTTGAAATATATAGTCACAAAGAATTGTTCATTACACAGAATCTGTACAAATATCATGGACCATAATCATCACTTGGCCACTGAGTGTAGTTTGGGCTCCTCCTCAGTGCATCCTATAAATGTTGTCATATGTCTTTCACGCATTCAAGTCTGTTTTTCTTCATTAGTAGTATTGTAGGAGGAGTTGAATCATGTAGACAACAGGTTAAATAAATTTAACATCCAATAGCGCATAAATATAGCAAAATGCTCATCTTTATAGTTATTTTTCTAGCTGACTGATGAGCTTATGGACACCGAATGATTATTCTGAGGTAAATGTATTATTACGTTCAATACGTTGCAATGTTTACAAGCTTTACACGTTTTTCGCAGTTTGAAACACTGAATGAGCTTTTACATGAGACATTTCAGTAAGTTGTACTATAGGCTCTCTTATAAAATAGCCTACCTTTTGATGTTAATTCATGTTCATTATGTACTATAGTAGTAAAGAGAAAGATATAATAATGGGTTCACTTGCCACTTGAACTGAGGCGCTAAAGCGATCGCGCCTGCCGCATTAAAGAGCACCAAAACAACGTATTTATTGTTTGAATTTCGTTGTGAATTTGGCATAATTTTACAGTAAGTTGTACTTTAGGCTTTCTTATAAAATAGGCTATGTTTTGATGTTAATTCATGTTCGTTATGTACTATAGTAGTAAAGAGAAAGATATAATAATGGTTCACTTGCCACTTGAACTGAGGCGCTAAAGCGATCGCGCCTGCCGCATTAAAGAGCACCAAAACAACGTATTTATTGTTTGAATTTCGTTGTGAATTTGGCATAATTTTAAAGCTGATACTTTGTTTATTAAAAAGTAACAAAGCTTTTTGCGATTAATGGACGGCAAGTGTGATTCAAATAATACGAAGTTCACGCATTAACAGAACACAGCATATAGACTACGATCTTGATAAGAAGCAGCCATATTAGTAATGATTATAAACGAGAATTGTTAACGATATTGCCAATATCCACACAGCTGACAGCGCATAATTTTAAAGCTGATACTTTGTTTATTAAAAAGTAACAAAGCTTTTTGCGATTAATGGACGGCAAGTGTGCTTCAAATAATATGAATTTCACACATTAACAGAACACAGCATATAGACTATCTTGATCAGAAGAAGACATATTTGTAATCATTATAAACGAGAATTGTTAACGATATTGCCAATATCCACACAGCTGACAGCCTTACCTATTGTAGTTTGTTCAAGTTGTGCACGAAATAGACTCCGTTTTTGTGCAATTTACCTGCACGTCTCCACCATTTCATTCTCTCTCGCACTGCACAACTGAGCTGCGTTTATCAGGTGTGGGTCAGCGCTGCTGTGCAGCAGAGACGAGGACTGTTTGAAACTCTTTTTTTTCCCACTAAAACTTTGATGCGCATCGTCTCAGTTTAATACGTGAACATAATGATGCGATCGCAAAACAATCAGGAAAATTTTTTAAGTCATAACATGTAAATATACTGTATATAGTCACTTTTGCTGAGTGAGGCAACCTCAGCAAAAACTTCACTCGCAAATTAATATTTTTGGTCGCAACCGTTTTAGTCGCAGTCTGGAGCCCTGGGGCAAAGGTCACTCAGTTCACACTAAGAGCATTAACAATAACTATATTAGCATCCACACCAAAGCACAATAATGTTCTGATCTTTATAAGCGTGCACTTTGATTATGTTGTCTGTCACTTTAAATGCTCAAGCTCTTTAAAGCTAGGTGTATTCTGATTGGCGTTATCGTTATAGCCATGGTTAGTAAAACTAGTTAACATCCATGGTGTGAACAGGCCAGTCTGTGCCAATAACCTAATATGTTATTACTTAGGTACCAAGATAGGTACCAGGTAACTTCAACTTTAGTTTTCAACTATAAACGACAAACTTTTTATGCGTTTTGGCCTTTCATTTACACAACAATGGCGCTTTGGGGGCCTGAAAATGCTACCTTTTGAAAACATGCCAACCACTGACATGGCATGCATAATACAGCGTTTTTAGTCATTTGTCACGGATCCGTGTGAATGTTGTCATCTGTCCACGAAACTTTTCAAAGACACAGGAAAAAATTCCCATTTTTAGTACACTGTTGTCGTGTAAATGTACCTGAAATGTGCCATTTCTGACAGTATTATGGTGTTTTAACAGAGTAAAACATTTGTCATTATGTATTTTACCCTTTAACTTTGTACTATGCATCAACCTCAACCATACACAGCAGTTCATTCTGTACATACTTCAAAGAGAACATTTCAAGGTTCGAAATGCATCAAGAACCAAGACACATTTGATTATGAGTCTTAGTTAATCATAACCCAGCATATCATGAGCATATCATATCAAAATCCTCACAAAACTTGACTGCCCAGTTATCAGAGTATGCAGTGGCCAGTTTCCTCTTTTGATCATTGTAGTATCAGGCTTCTTAACATGACTTTGATTTAGGGTGATTTCATCACATAATAGTGCTCTATTCTGACAGACGGATCCTGAAAGTCTGTCCCATGGCCATATATTATTAAAGGGGTCATATGATGCTGCTAAAAAGAACATTATTTGGTGTAATGAAATGTGTTTATGCGTCCTGAGGCAGACATAATTAATGTCTTTTAGCTTGATTTTAAGGCAGAAAGACTATGACTATGCACGGACAGTGCAATTGACCGGCAATTTTTATACAAACTATTTCAAAAACTTTTCAATTATGTCAATTTATTCACAAAATTCAAATAATAAATGTCATTCTGGAGCTCTTTAATGTGGCGCGACAGACAGTTAGAATATCCAACCGACTCGAATCTAGCTAACGTTAGTGAATCGGAATCGAATAGATTCGTGAAATATCCAGCCCTAACCATCAAAACAACAATAATAATGACAATATAAGGATCAAGACATAAATACAGTCCAAATGTTCAATAATAACTAATTTGATTCACAAAAAAAACTTCTCCGTTTTCGTTTTGCTTTGTTTTGAAATGTGCAAAAGTACGCACAAAAATAAACTTTTAAACACATACTTCGTTAAAATTGATAATGATAACACAGTTACAGGCAAAACAGAATAGGTACTACAATTATCCTACTGTAAAATCATAATACATTAATATGAGTTCTATTTCAAACAGTTCCAGAATGTTGTTCATATCTTTTTTGCGATGACAGCAGTGACCAAAACCGCCTCAACAGCAGTAAGTGTGGCTACTATGATATGTTTGCAGAAAATATGGACAGTTTTGAAAGAAATGAGGGTGTGTGTGTGTGTGTGTGTGTGTGTGTGACACACCCCGATTCAGACTGGGGTGGGGGCACGCGAAACCCCCTCCAGACAAACAACCGTTATCCAGCATTGATCCACTTCCCATCAACCACGAGAATAAACTTAATCCTGCAGATTATCGCACACACACACACGCCAGCCGCAAAAGCCTAGTTTATTATCAGCAGAACCGAGCACTGATCACACAAAAGTCGTCCAACTGCACGCAGCCATCGCATGACACACACATGCACATGAATTATCTCCAACAGCGTGTCGCCGGTCGGAGCGGTTCTAGTCGCTATTAATCCCATCATAGGCGTGCTGCTGCTGTAGCCTATTAGCTAACATCCCGCTCATAACAGCACACTGCGCATCACAAGCAACTAAACAGCGTCAAACTCACCGCTTCACGATCCGTGCTCAACTCCTGCGCGGGGAGACTGCGACCGTTACTCCGTGCCGCACGCGATGCTCCGGCAAACTAATACAAACCATATAAAACAACAGCCGCGCGCCTATAACGTTCCAGCAGGAACGACAAATGTGAGTGTGTGGGTGTGTCCGTTGATACGACAGCGGGCGGGGCTACGGGCTGTCTGATACTGCTGCAATGTTATTGGAGGAGATCGAATGGAGGGCGGGGCTAATGGCGCAATCAGATGCTGCTGCTGTATTATTGGAGAAGAGCTGAGAAAGGGCGTGGTTTCAGTCTGCCGCTGCAGCAGTGTCATTGGAGGTGAAGAATGCCAGAGCATCGTGTTGCTTCTGGGAATCATGTGGAATTTAACGATTCTTTTAGTACTTAATATTTGGGAAATTTAGATGCAGTTTTATTGTATTTTCTACCCTTAGGAGTTTGTTGCCAAATGCTTTTATTTAGTTTACAGACCTCAACAGCAATAACTGGTTAACTGATATATATATACCTTTAATAAAAATATTGAACAAAAAAATTTTTTTTTTTTAAATAAAAATATTGAACAAAACTGTAGTAACATTCATGCAGTCATTCGTTCATTTTTATACAATACCACTTATTAAAACTCACAGTGTGACAAATCAGTCAAGCTCATGTTGAGTCGGACATGACGAAAATAATAAATTGGGTTTAGTGAGTCGCAAAAAATCCGTGACTTCTCCTATAAAACTGCATTTTTTTTCGGTGTAAACTCTAATAACAGTTAAATCCAAAACTACTGTTTAGTGTAAAAAAATTTGAATATTACCCGTCAGGCTGTCGATTCATTAAATGATGCTGTGTCCCCAAAAAAGCTGTTTATTCAGCGCAGTGAAGCGGTTCATTCGTTTGGGAATCAGAATACACTGTTCGCACTGTACATGTTTTTGATTGACTGAAAATTAAAACGGTTCACTAAAAAAGAACAGGTTAAAAAGAATCATTCGTTTGGGAACTACACTAATGGTCTCTCTGTATGTTTTTGATTCACTGAAAAGGAAATCAGACTATACTGGTCACGCTGTGTTTTTGATTCACTGAAAAGGAAATCAGACTATACTGGTCGCGCTCTGTTTTTGATTCACTGAAAAGGAAATCAGACTATACTGGTCGCGCTGTGTTTTTGATTCACTGAAAAGAACCGGTTCATAAGAGTCATTCGTTTGTGAATCAGATTACACTGCTTGCTGGTTTCTGATTCATTTGAAAGTACCGTTTTAAGGGTCATTATTCGTTCGGGAAGTGGTTTACACTCAACAGTTATACAGTTAACAATGATAAATAGTGTTCGGTTTAAACTGGCGAAAGAATTAGGGTTCATTCAGTTAACAGAGCTGAGCATCATGAAAATCATTTGGTTCCTGTATTTAAATGGGAAATTGTTGGTTCCCAACACTAATAACGGCTACTGACCTCTTCACACCGGGTCATGGAGGTCACCATCAGACCATCTGGCATTATGGACATGTTTGTACTTATATGAAAAGCACATAAAAAAATCTATCTATCTATCTATCTATCTATCATACATGTTACTATTAAACGGATGCATTGAGGGCCAAACAAAAAAAATAAAAGTGAAAGTTTAAAGAATTCAAAGACATTGATTTGCATTATGCCATTTATGTTTAGTAAATTCAAAGGATTGAAGTGGACATTTTGAAACATCAAAATATTCAAGTCTGTCTCATAACAAATGTTCATTGCAACTGTTACCATAGTAAGAGACGTTCAGCTGGGAGTATGCTTCCATCTAGTGGCCATTTTACGCACAGCACCTGCTAAAATAAATAAAAGCTATTGATTTACAAGGGTTCAATTCCAATTCAGACCACTAGAAAACTGTAGAGTCGCTTCATTATTCTCTAAAATCTATGCTAACCTTAACAGTCTGTTATCTAGTGGCAACGGTTTTTGTAAATATTAGCTTATATTAACACCATCACTCTCAGACATGAATCACAGCTATGACAGAAAAGTGGCAAAGAACTAATGTATTCAAATAATTTATGCGTTTATATAAGTGATATCAAAAAAGGAAGGCCAAATAAACTGTCATTGCTATGGCACATTATCTCACTCCCCAAATTTCAGTTGCCGTTCTTTCTGCTGTCCGTGGAGTTCTCTGGCCCTGTTCTTCAGCTCCTCAGCTTTCTGATCATCCTTATCAGTCCCATCACCCAGTTTGTACATGCGACTGGCATTAGCACAGCCCCATACGTGTCCCAGCTCGCAGGCTTGCAGGGCGTACTTTAGAGCCAGAGGCATGTTTTTGTCCAGCCCTGGAGATCCCTGGATTAAAAGAGCGCTCAGGTTGAAACAGCTGGGGGCGAAGCCTCCCTCGCAAGCCTTCTCGTAGTACTGCCGAGCCACCTTCGCATCAGCTCCCCCCTCCATGGCTCGCCCATCATGGGCAAGCAGAGCTATGTTGTGACAAGCATCCACAGACTTCTTCCCTTTGCTGTTACATGCCTTCATAAAACAGGAGTATGCCGTCTTTAAACACTCCGTCACACCACCTGATGTCAAAAGAAGCAGTCAGTTGTTGAAATATAACATAATAACAGTATATTTATTTTTAACATATAATACATTTACAAATATTTATTAATATATATTTTGAATATAAATACTCTAAAGTCCAGCTATAATCTATATGAAGTTTAATTTTGGAATATTAATTATTATTAAAATATATAACTTTTATTTCTAATTATAAAAAAATTCTTTATGATTTTTGAATAAGCAAATACGTAGCAAATTATTTGTCCTATTTCATTGCATACATATGAATTTTGTTCTTTTATTTTAATATATCATTCATAACATTTAATAAAAATACAATAAATATAGTAATACATTATATATAATATTAAATGTATATTTTTATTATACATTCATATTTGTTATTGTCATTATTGTTTTGTCATTTCCTACATATTTTGATTAAAAAAAACACTCAACATTTTAGACTTTTACATTTTATTTTATTCTTTTAATTTTCAGCATGTCTACTGTAGTAGACAGATCAAATACATTAATAAAAAATAATATTTTTAACAGTCAAAAATGTGATTTATATTACAATTAAAATGAAAGTAATATGAATCAAAAATATGTAGACAAGTTGAAATCATAGCAATTCAATTGACTACAGATATGTTTTGTTAAAAATCAATCATAAAGGAATAATAGTTGAATGTCTAAATTTTGGACTAAATCCTATTTTTATCAAACCTGCATCATCTGAAATTCTAAGAAGTAAGAATAAAGAAATAGAAAGTTCTTAGATCCCATTAGGATTAAGTCAAACAAATAACAGAAAGTCAATCATACAATTTCTAGGGTTTTTATTTATTGGCAGCGGAGAAACAAGCTTTTAGATATTAATACACTTGTATGTTAATTAAGTAATAATAAGTATTTATTAAATATTCAGTATATGTGTTTGTGTGTGTGTGGATAGTAACTGTGTGAGCGTGCATATCAATCAATTATGCAGTCCAATATGAATTATATTAATAATGAAAGACAATTATGTAATTAGAATTCTAAAAATGATTACTAGGATTTTGACATTGGGAACAAGCTTTTAAGATGTGTAATACATACTGGCTTTACCTTTGCCGGTGACATGGTAAGCGCCGAGCTTATAGCAGCTCTCTCCATGGCCATTCACCTCGCAGTTGTGCTTGAGAACCTGAGCTGTGGACTCATAGTTCTTCTTCACACCCTCCAAATAATCTGCCAACCTCTGACACCCTAACAAACACCAGAAACACAGAAGAATGGGATCAGATGAAGCCGTTCAGCACCCGCGCGAGAGGGACAGCGCTCAACTGACCGTCAGGGTCTTTCTCCCGGTAACACTGATAACTGTACTCCACTCCTAAATTATCCAGAAACTGCTTCACCTCCTGTTCGTCCTCAAAGTTAATCAACCCGGCCATGTGGTAACAGATTTCCGATCACTTGCATTGACCGGCTGAAGGTCTCACGTCCTCAACTTTTGACCTTGGTCACTGATTAGTTGTGCAAACACTTGCAGGAAAATGAATTTTAAAAAGAATAATAAAAGCATCCGTTCAAAGCACAGAGATTCGTTTAGCTGAAATTAGGCACGTGCTATCAAATATTCACAATTATAAAACAGTTACAGAACAACGTGTTCACACCACACACGCACAGAAACCGGAGATCACTTCCTGCTTCGCTCAAAGTCACCGACGGGCTTCCGTAGGCCCCGCCCATCTTTTTTTGTGGATGTTTTTGTGTTAAAGCTTTTTGGCGCGAGTTATTTCTCTGAAAAATAAGTCAGAATATGTCTAAATACTTTTAATATGATTTTTCTTTACAACAGTTGAAATGTCCGTATTCAGAGGACTACATTGGTAATCAATTTTTTTATTATGCTTGGCAATTTTTCATACACAAATGCAATTTTTGTTGTTCTGTACTTTTTTGATACAATTTTATGTAAGTCGTTTGGCATGAATTTAAAAAAAAAAGAGATAAAGGAATATTAAAATTGGTCTTTTTATAATAGTTCACAACCACATTTTAGATTTCCAAAAAGCATAATATAGCATTTATGCATATAAAATAATACATTTAAATTAAATTATTAATAAACAAAATGTCATTTATAATGAAATGTCTATTTCTGCCAGAATCTTGCTGTCTTGAATATCACAAGATCACAAATGATCTAAGACTTAATTATTTTGGCCAAATACTACATTTACAATAAAATAGAACCTGTATATACTGTATGTTGCGATACTGAGTTATAGAAAATATAAAAACTTAAATAAAACTTAGATTTTGAAACCTTATAAAAATAAAAACTTAAAACTTGAAATACAACTTGACTTGAAAACTTAAAAAAAAAAAAAAAAACTTGAAAACTTAAAACAAAATACTTCTAAAACTACAAAAATTGTACCTTAAACTACCTTGGAAACCATAAAACTACCAAAACTTTATAGTCTTTGTGGTCAAAAATCGATGTAACTGACTTATTTATAAGTGTACTGTCGTTAAACATCTTACATTATTGTTACAAATACTGTTATGTATTTACTCTAGCCGTTTTTATGTTTTTGTACTAATGCAAATACACAGATAAAGTTTATCTTTCGTAGGTCTCGCCCACTGTAGGCTCCTATCTTGCTTTGGCTGAATTCAGAAAATCATAATTTTTACATGTCAGAAATATTAAAATTACTGTGCTAGTATGCTATTCTGTACTGAGCCCTTGTGTATAGTTCACAGCTAAAAATAAAATGTACTTACAAAAATGCATCCTAAACTCAGGAAATCAAAACTCTTATAAGTGTATTATTGTTATCATCTTACATATATTACTGTTCTTATATTTTCGTACTAATGCAAATACACATATAAGTTGAGCTTCCGAAGGCCCGCCCACTTGACGGGCGCTTTTGAAGCACTGCTTCGTGAAGCTTCGAAACCTTTGCGAATCATTTGTTTCGAATCGGTGGTTCGGAGCGCGTATCTAAATCACGTGATTTCAGTAAACGAGGCTTCGTTATGTCATAAGCTGTTTCGAAACGTTTGGGGGCAATGATGATCTCTGTGTGAACCCGTGAATCATGCGACCCCGCAGCGGCGAACCACTGAACCAGCGTCTATAGGGCCTTTCGCACCGCTTTAGCTCCAGAACTAAATGTACAGTACTAAAGTACTGGGACGATTTTGCGCGAACTATTTCCCAGTACAATTTAAAGGGTTGCATTCGCACCGAGAGTGTGTACTAAGAAGTGACGTAAGCCGGTCGACAGCGACGTCATTTGTGCGCGGCGTTCAACAACAGAAACAAAGAAGAACAACATTAACAACAGGAGGATGGAGGATGCTGTGATCGGAGCTGTGTTTTTGTTGTGTCTCGCGGGTTTCACAATAATGGACATGGAAAGTCAACGTATCAACGGTTTGAGCTTGAACTTGCCCCTGATCTCGGATCAATTTGTAGACATTTCTAACCTGTCATTTGTGTTATTAAAATGATGAGTAGTAGTTAATAGTCTATTATTGGCCTGTTTAGAGAAGCTCTCCATATAACAAATAAACAACCCCTGCAAATTAATAATTATTATTAAAAAAACGCACACACAAATTATACAGACACTTCATATTTAATGGTATTTTATTATTTTAATTGCATTTACTTTTACTTTACTTTTAGTCATTTAGCAGACGCTTTTATCCAAAGTGACTTACAAATAAGAAAAAGTAATTAAAACTAAAAGCTAAAACTCTATAAATACTATATATATACACATAAAAAGTAACAAAGTAACGTAATTAGTTACTTTTTTATGGAGTAACGCAATATTGTAATGCATTACTTTTAAAAGCAACTTTCCACAACACTGTTACTGACACATAGTAAGAGATGATTATAAAAAAACTGAAACAGAAGTAGTAGGAAAGAGGAGAAATAAAAAGCGATGCTTATTACTGCATTTACTATATTATACTTTCAAGAAAGCGTTTGCATTGGGTTTGTAAAAGCTGTTTTTTGCATGTCTTGGCCTGAGTTTTTGTCGCATTTACACAAGTTTGACCAGCAGGCGTCACCGGCGTGTGGTGTTTCGAGCGCTTCGAGTCAGTGAATCGTTTTGCGAAGCAATTGGTTCAATTAATTCGAAGCTTCGAAAAGGTTCGTTTCTCTCGTCGCTGCCGCCCTCAGCCCCTCCCCCTCTGATGCAGATCCGTTTCCGGTGTGACGGCCTTGTTTACTTGTCAACACGTCGCTGCGCTTTCCTCCCGATATAAAACCCCGTCAGAGTGACTGACAGCACATTGTGATCGGAGCACATACGATCCCTTAAACAACAATGCAGACGAGGAACAGAAGCTACAGTGGACTGATAGCGGCCCGTGTACTTTTAATCACCAACAAGTAGGATCCGCAAATGTTTGAAGACAGATGTGTGAAGGCTAACTAACAGGCTAAGAAGCTAAGAGCATTTCAGTCGGATTGTATTTGATCACCTAAACCCACCGGCCATTATCCGCAGAATACGAGCGTTTCTTTCGTTTTGAGGCCGTTCTGATCCATCTCTTTGAGACCATGGTAAGGCTTTACATGTCACATTACTGTATGTAGAAAGCGTGTGCAGTTCACCAGATCATTCTTCAGATGGTAAAGTACTCCAAATCAAGCTGTTTGCTCAACTCTGAGGTTTGTGGTAACATGTTGGTGGTCATAAATTGTGTTCATTAGGGATGACTGACTGTCTAAAGATTCTTTATACGCTGTTTTCTTAGTTCTTTATTGCGCTGATCACAAGGTTGTAATGTTAGGTACAAAAGGTTATCGGTTCAAACCTTCAAGGGTTGGTGATCCATGATCTTGAACCATTGGGTCCTTGAGCAAAGCTCAACTCAACACTTTCTCCAGCTGTCAATTTGTAGACTACATGCTTTTCGATATTGTTTCCCACGGACCACAAAACATGATCATCTTAATGCGAGGGACCCCTATCCTAATACGTAAAAATGAAAATGATAATATAAAAATGTTGCTGCCAATACAATACTATACCAATTTAAAAACATTTAGTAACTTTTAAGTTACATATATTTTTTTTCTCCACTTGCTATAGTATTGTACTGTTAAATGTATTATTTAAATCCATTTTTTGTTTACTTATTTTAATCAAAATTGTATTTATTTAAATGTAACTATATTTAAATCTTTTTTTCTTCTTCTGTTATTTATATTATTTATTGACGTCCTGAACATGACATGGACAAAAACATGTTTATCGTGGCCACGGAAAATCATCATCTTTATGTGTCAGATATATTAAAAGTAGTATGCTATTCTATATTGTGTCTTTTTGTAATCTAGTTCACGATCAAATTTATGTTTATTTTACTTTCATATCTCAGAAAAGTATAAAATAGCATTTATGGGTATAAAAAACTACATATACATTAAATTATTAAAAAATAATATGTAACTTAGAAAGAAATCTCTTGCTTTCTCAAATATAATAACTATAAATTATCTGATTAGTAGCCAAAAACTGCATTTGCAAAATAAGAATAGCATAAAAAATACTTGTACTGTATTTTGCAATATTGAATTAAAGAATTTGTTCCTCCTTTTTATTATTATTAAACAAAATTTCAGTATTCGGTACCAATACCAGTGAAAATCCACGGTTCTTGGTACCAAAGCAAAACACAAAAACATGCTAATTTAACAACATTTTTATTAATAACGTTAAACAAAAATTAAATGTACAAAACCAATGCCATTCTTTATACTTATTTAAAATTGTTTCAAGTTTTCCCACAAGTAATAAAAGTATGAAAAAAGTAAACAAGTTTCACCCAAAAGTTTAGTCATAGTTCTGCTGCCACTGAAAAACATCTGTAAATTGTTGTCTGTTTTAGTGTTTGCTGGTATGTTTCAGGGTCTTCCTCAGTCTGCAGCTGTAAAAGGAAAATATAATATACTTTCTTTTCCACATGCCCCTGGCACTCCCTTGTGGCCCCCTAGTTGATATGAAAGGATCTATTATCCAGTTAAGAGACTGGTTGTCCACTCAGCTGTCTGTAAAAGTAAAACCACCAGCTTAGTCATTACTTGCAATCTGACATATCAAAGAGTTTTTCATAGCCATTCGTATGAAAGAAAACCTCTCAAACCAGTAGCCTAGGATAAGAAAGGCATATGAGGGCTGAGATCACGAGGGTGTGTCTGATTTGATGTTGTTGTTGCAGGACGAGGCATCCCCGCCGTCTCTGACTGATCTGTGCATGACTCTGGTGAGCTCCAGGCTGGAGCTCTTCTGTGAGATGCGTGATGACGGCTCGCTCTCCTTCCGTGAGCCGCTGGTCTTCCCGCAGGAGCTGGCCGACCAACTGCTCTGCAAGATGGCCACTGAGGGTGAGCGAGCCGTCCTGTATTTCAAGGAATGTTTCACAAACTTAAGATGACATTCCTGCACATGGAACAATGATTGTGTGTTCGATATTTCTGATAGTTCATCCAAAAATAAAGACTCATTTACTCACCTTCATGTCACTCCAGACTTGTAGGACGTTTTTCTGTGGATCACAAAAGAAGATAATTTAAAGAATGTTTGTATAAAAAAAAAAAAAAAAAACCCAAAAAACCAGACATTTGTCTAAATATTTTTATGTTCCTTAGAAGAAAATGTCATACAGGTTTGTATGGTTTTAGGTTTATATATATATATATATATATATATATATATATATATAAATAAATACTTTCAAATTAAAGTACTATAAACTCATTATTTATTAAAATGAGCCTCCCTTAAATCAGTATTATTTATAAATTATTGTTATTTATTAATATTTTTAATTATCTTTTTATTTATATATTTTTCAGTTTATTTCCAGAATTTTAGTTTTAGTAATTTTGTGCTTTTGTCATGTTTTTGTTTTTTTTTTACCTGAAATTTAATATTTCACCTTTAGTACGTTTAGTACTTGAATTATTGCCAAGGCAATATTTCTAATTTCAAGTTTTTCTCATTTTTAATATACTGTATATTATTTTAGTTGATCTAATATTTATAATTTATTTTGTATCAGTTCTATTTCACGTAATAAAATTAGTGTTTTTTTTAAATACTTTAATTTTAGTTTTAGTTCACAGTAACATTTATTTGCAATCTCTAATTTTGATTCTGAATCCCTATTCACTTTCATTGTATGGAAAAGAACATGAGCAAGAGTGTAAACATTTTGGGGTAAATCAGGCCCTGTCATAGTGAGTTTAATTAAATGAAACTAACTTTTTTTATTATTAAAGTTATATCTTTGGCCTTTATTGGATAGGACAGTACAGATCAGACAGAAGAGCATGGGGCGGAGAGAGGGGAATAGGTTCTGCAAAGGACCTCGAGCTGGAATTTTAACTATGCTGTATGTCAACTCAGACGAAATGAACGAATCTATATTCAAAACATAATGATTCTCTTACAGGCCTGTTGAATGACAGCACAGTGGGAATCTTCCGAAGCTGCCAGCAGTTCCGGTTGCGTCACGCCTGCATCCGCACAGCCCGAATCTCCGCCGAGGCCTTCCACCGTGCCCTCTGCCTGCACCGCCTCGTGGAGCTAGATGCTTCACGGGTCAACGCTGACCTCACCATTGCCGACATCCTTCGAGGTTTATCATCCAGTAAAACCTTGCAGGAGAGTCTGCAGCGGCTCGTCCTGAACGGCCTGACCATGTCTTCTCTGGAGGAGCCCAGCTGTCGCTGTTTCAGTGCCATGCAGGGGCTGCGTGCACTCAGTGTGTCCAGTGTCGACTTCTACGACTCGGGCTTGGTGGATGTGTGCACGCTGCCTCGCTTGGAGAGTTTGGATATCTCCAACACCTCAGTGACGAACCTGACCCCGCTCCTGGGCTTGAGAAGCAGGCTACGCTACCTCACCATGCACCAGCTCAAGAGACTGGAGATGACCACCGCTCAACTGCTGGCTGTGCTTAGTCAGGTCAGCTCTCCATCTGTTTTAATGCTGAGGTCACTGAGGGTGACTCCCTTTTTGTGTCATTCAAGAAACAAAGGCATAAATAATTTAAAGGGGTCATATGATGCTGCTAAAAATAACATTATTTTGTGTATTTGGTGTAATGAAATGTGTTTATGCGGTTTAAAGTAAAAAAAAACACATTATTTTCCACAATATGACCCCTTTAATGTCTCTAAAAATGTCATGTGATGTAACCTTCAATTAAAAATTACATTTATATCTTTAAATATATTTTCTTTTTTTTTTTTGCAAATGACATGAATTATTAATTTATTAATATCAAGAAGTTTTTAGGGAGTTGCACCACATGACATTTTACAACCTAAGCCATGCTTGTCTTTTCATAAAAATGCCAAATTATCTGATATTTTCATAGACTTACTGATCTTGACACGAGGGTCTGCAGACTGCATGATATTAGAAAAAAGGGCTAATTCAATTGGGAAAAATTGGTTATACTCATAAAAAAAGAACTCAAACATCTTTCAGTGACTATGAATGTGTTTTCATAGGCCACATTCCCCCAGTTTTTGACCCATTCAATATAATAATAATATTAATATTTTTTGTTATTTAATAAAAATGTTAATATAATTTGTTAATAATACTATTATTCTGTAAAATTTAATATTTAATAAATGTTATAGTTTAACTGTAAAATGACATTAGTCATTTGCCTTATATAAAAAAATGTAATTATACAATAAAAAACTATATGATAGAATAATAATAAAAGATAATGCCAGACTTCTTAATGTTTTCTTGCTTTTTTTGTTCTTGTGTTTTTCTTTATTATGATATCAGGACAGTTGTATCACCCTGATATTTTTGACTTCATACTAAAGAAATCAAAATGAATTTGAATACAGAAATGAAAAAAGCACTCATCATAAAGCCAATTCCCACTGCACTGACAGAGTACAGTACATCACTTCTCAGATGTTCCAAGGCTGACAAACGGCAAAACCTGTATCTAATCAGACAAAACCTGACGAACGTGTCTGTTGGTGCAGTGTGATTTGGCCTAAAGAAGAGCTATATTCAAGTCATTGTAGCTGTGTATTGCAATGAAAATGTATTTTCAAATAAATAGCACAAAATTAATTTGTTGACTTTCAAGAAACTTGTCTCTCTGGCTAGGAAGTTTGTCATTGTGCTTCTGCATGATGATATGTAATTGTACGCACATTGTTTTTCTGTTTCTATAGCTGGAGGGTTTACAGCACCTTGATATCTCAGACGATAAGCAGTTCACATCCGACGTGGCGCGGCAGCTTCTGGAGACTCCTGGCATCCTGCCCCAGCTGGTGTCTCTGGATGTTTCGGGCCGCAAGCAGGTGACTGATGCAGCGGTCAGGGCTTTCGTGGAGGCGAGACCGGGCATGACCTTTGTTGGTCTGCTGGCCACCGATGCCGGATTCTCTGACTTCCTGTCTGGAGAGGGCAGCTTAAAGGTAGGTGCTCGTACACAACAGCAAGATGTTTTGAAAAATGCAACATTATCCTCATTACCTGCTGCTTATTTTTAGATGTTGTAAATGATTGTAAGATCATGATTATTTTTCTGTTTTTGCAGGTGACTGGAGAGGCCAATGAGACTCAGATCTGTGAGGCATTGAGAAGATACAGTGAGAGAGAGGGCTTTGTCAGAGAAGCTCTCTTCCACCTCTTCAGCCTCACTCATGCCATTGAGAAACCACGACCTGACATCCTGAAGGTATGCATACTCACAAAGATTGAGTGATGAATCAAAGGTCACTGCATTTCTCCATATCAGTCCTCATGTCCCTGCTCGTCACTTTTCTTTTGTTCTCGATCTGCAGTTGGTAGCATTAGGGATGAAGAATCATCCGGCCACACTGAACGTGCAGCTGGCAGCCAGTGCCTGTGTGTTCAACCTCACGAAACAGGAACTGGCCTTTGGAATCCCTGTGCGACTCCTGGGGAACGTCACACAGCTGCTACTCGAAGCCATGAAGACCTTCCCCAACCACCAGCAGGTACGTAAAAACAAGACTAAATGTAGAAAGCCCATCGTAGCCGAAATAAAATGATAGCTGAGAATATTAAATGTATTTTCTGTGAGATGGCTTAAAGTTGGGATAAAAATAAAACAAAGATAATTCCTCTAATTTTGTTGCCAAATACATTAAATGCTTAATGCAAAATGTTATATGCACTATAAATCTAGTTTATAATAAGCAAAACATGTATTTCACTAAATGAACACAAGGAAGAATAACATTTACTCGTTTCATTTACTATGCATGAATATATTGATACTTCATAATAAAGAGCAGTATTTGTATTTTATACTATATGTGAATATATCAATATTTTATACTCTATATTATTTATATAGCTATGTTTATATTTTGATATAAAAAATTTAATTCTTTTTTAATAGTTTTTAGTACTGAATTCATTTATTGAAATGGACAGTTTGCACATATCCATGGGAATAAATCAACCTTACCTATTCAAAAGAGTGTTATTGTTAAAACAATAATTGTTTAAAATAAAAAATAATTTTTGATTAAATATTAGATAGGAAAAAAAACCATTAGAAATGTTGAAATGTAGAAATTACTAAAACTGAAATAAAAATAAATTTAAAAAATAAATTAAATTTAAAGCTAAAAAATAAATAGTAAAATTATTCAAACTTTAATTAAAATGAAACCTGAAAATATATAAATGAACGGCCAATTCAAAATATTAATATACTATAATATTATATAAATAATATTCAAATAACACTGACTCAAATGCTCTTTTTACTACTGAATTAAGCATCTTAACATGACACTAGTTTAAAGGCATTTAGGAAAAACAGATTAATATCACTGCAGTATTTACTATGTTGCTTTTACATCACAAGCAAAATCGCCACTAGTATATTTCGAATATTCAATATTATTTGGCTCAAATTGTTTCCCTCAGTGGATTCATAAATTAGATTGTATGGTATGATGAATGTATTATGTAGTCGGGTCACTTTCACTTGGCAGCATGATTGTGTCAACACTTGTACAGGAAGTAGACTTTTCACACCAAAGTATGTGAGTGGAGTGGGAGTGGAGTGGCGTGATTTTTGACTTGGCGTGGTTATCAAGAATTCACACTTTAAACATCATTAACTAGCTTGACAGATCGATAGCGGGAGGTTATATCTCAGGCATGTTTGTTTGTAGCATGTGGATACTCAATACTGATTGGGTGAAATCATGTTTTAAAACAGTTTATGGTACAGGTAGTTAATCTCCACTCTAAATGAATGTGCTGCTCCATTGCTGCACACGTGCGCAACACACAAGCTCGCTCATAACGTACAGATTGCGCGCACATAGAAACATTCAGGAGTGCTGAAAATTGTCAACGCTGTCCTGTGATTTATAAGCTTAAAAGCGGAAAAGCTACAGCATATTCTTTCTGTTTCTGAAGTAACTACAACCCTCAGCTTTGCCATAGTAGAGAGACGCTGCACAGACAAGTGAGTTAAACAGCCATTTAATATAGACTTGGGCTAATTGTAGTGTTCCAATAAACCATGTTAAAACTATTCTTCTAGTATAGTGTATTTATTTTATGAAAATCAGACTTTTCCAGGTTTTAAGTGCTATAATCAGGTCCACGGTGCATCTACCAACCAAGGAAACGTGAAAAAGATTAACCTAGTAACTTTGTTTTGGTAAGCCTTTTTCTGCAAGCATCTGAAAAAACGAGCGCGTCTGATTTCGCTCCCCTAGTGACGTTGCAAAGGGATCTCATTATAATATTACCGCCCCTTAATCTGTAAGTTTCCACCCACGGTGCCGTCATTTTGATTTTGCAAGTGACAATGGTGTACCAGTTCTAACGCCATGGCGAAAGTTTGAGCAAAACATGCTAACTGTTCTGTCTTTGACTGCACAGACGAGCACAGAACACTATTTAGAGTCCCAGCCTCAGAGGAGACAGAGAGCAGAGGATTTATTGATTTATTTACTGTATATTGCTGCTGCCACACAGATCTAAAATAAACATGCGATTTATTTCCCAGCTGTTTACCTTCACAGACATAACCGACTCTTTTTGTAACTCGTGTGTTTTTAGCGTAAACTTGTGTGTGAATGAGAACTTAGTTTAGTACTCACATGCTGTGACAGCCGCTTTCTGTGCGTGTGCGCTCAGAAAACCATATTTGAGAAGTTTCAACTAATATGGTTTAAAACGCATGATTTCAGCGCGATAAACATGATAATCAGAAACAAAACAGATGTTTTTAGCAGGTCCGAGCTGTAATGGCTCTATTCTGGAAAAGGGGGCGGGGAGCAGCAGCTCATTTGCATTTAAAGAGACAGGCCCGAAAAACAGCGTGTTTCTGCTTCCACTCAAAATAGGCATTTTCAAAAGTATATAATAAAAGGTCTGTGGGGTATTTTGAGCTGAACTTCACAGACACATTCTGGGGACACCAGAGACTTATTACATACTGTAAAAAGGGGCATAATATGTCTCCTTTAATAGAAGTTCTGAACAGACGTATAGAAATACTTTAGCCACAAATTTCGTCATGGAGCAGCGTTTCTGATCAGTGGAGCGAGGAGCGGGAAATGCTAAACCCGCAGCGGAGTGATTATAGAATGCTTGGCGTGCGCAGGAGAAATTGTTGCCGCTCCACTCGGCTCACATACTCCGTTTCACACAATAAGCATTTGTTCTTCCTGAGAACATTCAACATTCTCATTTTACATGATCATTCAGTTCCCCATGATGATACATCATTTTGAGAATGAGGAAAAGGTTTTACAGGTGCCAACTATGATTTCCCTTTGAACAGTTTTTCTGTTTCCCCCCCCAGCTGCAGAAGAACTGCTTGCTGTCTCTATGCAGTGATCGAATCTTGCAGGAAGTTCCCTTCAACAGGTAACACTTTTCATTTTCTGCTTAAAAATGTGATAATAATAATCACTCTATTCAGTTTTTGTCAAGCTGCTAATAATACCTGAGGTAATATCAATACATATTAAAGTAATTTAGAAAGAGAAATCTAAATGTGCATGTTATTTTCATCTGTTTTGCAAGAGCAGTATCATATCTGTTGGTCTTTTGTTGTGTTTGACTGTTGCTTTTTGTAACTACCATATTCAAAAGTTAGAGGTTATTACGATTTTTTTAAATGTTTTTCAAAGTGTCTTATGCTTACCAAGGCTGCATTTATTTGATAAAAACAGCAATACTACAGTAAAAACAGTAATATTACTGTTTTCTATTTGAATATATTTTAAAAAGTAATTTATTCAGCATCATTACTCCAGTCTTCAGTGTCACATGATCCTTCAGAAATCATTCCAATATGCCGGTTTTGTTGTGCTGCTAATTGTTTTTAAGATTCTAACATTAATTGTAATATTATAGTCACTTTTGATCAATTTAATGCATCCTTGCTGAATATAAGTATTGTTATAAAAAGTATGTCGAAAGAATAAGTATGTAGACTGTTAACTTGAAACTGTGTGATTACAGACAGTTGTCACCCTTGGCAAGTGTATCAGCCAATCAGAATGTAGAATTCAGCAGTTCTGTTGTGTAAATACACAAAGTCTACACACCTACTCATGACTGTTTACAACATTTCTAAAATGCAATAACATTTTAGATGAAAAGGTTATCAGATAAATGCTTTCGGTTTAAACTGGTAGTTTGTCGTCTTGTTGATGGATTTAAACGTCACACCAGTTTATGTGGATCAAATATGTTGTTTGTTCAGGTTTGAAGCTGCCAAGCTGGTCATGCAGTGGCTGTGTAACCACGAGGATCAGAACATGCAGAGGATGGCTGTGGCTATTATCTCCATCCTTGCTGCCAAGGTGAGCAGGTGCAGTCGGCACTTGAGAACAGGTTTAACCGTAGAGTCTTCCAGAAGAGATTCAGAACATTCTATCGCAGTGATGCATCATGAAATGCAGAGTGACAGATTCTCCCAGTGTCACGTCAGCCAGCACTTCCCCTCGGGGGAATCCAGTCCCCATTCTGAAATGCATTCCACTTCGTCAAGTGGATAAGGGAAGTTTATATGGACAGACCCTCGACCTCGAGTGAGTCGACTCGTTTGTACACTTCAGGCAGCTCCATATACCACAGTGCAACACGATTGTGACGTCACAGCAGGCTGCGCTTAAAAGGACAGTTCACCCAAAAATGAAAATTCTGTCATTTATTCACCCTCAAGTTGTTCCAAACTCAAAGAAACAAACTCATACAGGTTTGGAACAACTTGAAGTTAGAAGAGGAAGAATGTTCATAACCAAACAGTTGACTTAAATAGGTTATGGGAAAAAAGAAAAAAAAAAAACTAACTAGACTCTTTGTGTGCGTTTCTTTAATAGTTGTCCACTGAGCAAACTGCACAATTAGGAGCTGAGCTTTTTATCGTAAAGGTAAGGTTTTTTTTTTTACATTTGTAACGCTTGAATGGGAGGAATAGTGATTCTTATCTCTCTCACAATCTTCACATCATAGCAACTCCTGCACATTGTGCGGCAGAAAACGTGTCAGGGTATCGTGGACGCCACGTTGAAGTTCACACTCAGTGCTCTGTGGAACCTCACAGATGAA